CAAGTTCTAAAGTTATGTTTTTGAATTAGCAACAGAGGTTTGGGCTCAGCTGTTAAACTGTCAACTTAAGATTTGAGGAAGGTAGTACTGTAGTTCTGCACACAAACTGTTTTTTTAAGACGGTTGTTTCTTATTTATTTACACACTTGTGCCATCAAACTGTTGTACAAACACAATATCACACTCGTAGCCATGTGATATCACTCTATATCGGCATGGCTGTGATTACCTATAGCATTGTGGAATCACAGCCATGCTGATATAGAGCGATATCACATGGCTACAAGTGTGATATTGCTCATATATACAAAAATCATCACTAAATGTGTGTGCTTATGCATGGGGGGTCTTCCAGGTCTCTAGCGATGAATCCCCTCCTGATACCAGAAGCGTATATCATAGGAGGACAGCCGCTGTGCAGTCAACTAGCTGGACTGTCTAAAGGTCAGAAGAAGCTTTGCCAGCTGTACCAAGATCACATGCAGTTCATTGGAGAGGGCGCCAAGACAGGCATCCGGGAGTGCCAATACCAGTTTCGCAACCGCCGCTGGAACTGCAGCACAGTGGACAACTCCTCAGTGTTTGGCAGAGTCATGCAGATAGGTATATTTTTAGGCAGCTGTTTTCCATTTAACAGTAATTGATGATAATCACAGATGTTTAGCTCCAAAACGGACAAAACACCATAGAAGCACCTTGTGGCATCTTGTGTGGGAGTGTTGTTCTCTAACAAAACCAAGCTCAGGCAATTCAATTAAAAAGAAACTGGTTTCTTTTAATAATCAACCAAAATGCTGCTGATACATACATGCTGATCTCTGAATATCTAATTAGGTGTGATTGCTTGTTATATATATGAGGAGATATGTCCACTAGGTGGTGAGCTTACTGTATGTTGCTGAATTCATTTTACAAGAGTGCATGTAGCAGCACATCATTGTGATGCTCCTAAATTTGTCTTTTTGGTTTAAAACAAAAACATATCGGACCTACATATGTCTATTTAGTTTGAAGCTCCTTCTCTTTTTACATTCTGACACATGAAAGCAATGCTACATAATGTACAAGACAGGTTTTCAGAATAGTAATTCTTAAGATTCTTTCAGATATGGTCAATGTTCCTAGGATAAATATATTAGGGTAAACAGAATAAATGATTATGATTTACTAATAAACTGTTGCTCATGAAAGCAAATAAAAAAAGGTAAATGTGAATTTGTTGTGGTGGTTGTTTGCTTTTCCAGGGAGCAGAGAGACAGCATTTACATATGCTATCAGCGCCGCTGGCGTGGTCAATGCAGTGAGCCGTGCCTGCAGAGAGGGGGAGCTGTCGAGCTGTGGCTGCAGCAGGGCAGCGAGACCTAAAGATCTGCCACGAGACTGGTTGTGGGGCGGCTGTGGTGACAACCTCAATTATGGATATCGCTTCAGCAAGGAGTTTGTGGATGCACGTGAACGGGAAAAAACTTTCACCAAAGGCTCTATGGAGAGTGCAAGACTGCTGATGAACCTTCATAACAATGAGGCAGGACGGAGGGTAAGACAGCCGTAACTATGTGAAGATTAGTCATTTTCATCTAAACTTGCACACATGGTCAAACTAATCTGCTGTGTTCTCTCTATTTTGTTTTGTTTTCTTAAGCTTATTTCTCTTGTTTAGACTCTTCAGCTACCTTTTAGGTATTTTAGGTTATTTTAATAATAATATAATATAATACAATACATATCAGTGATGTGCAGTGGTGTTGTAAAATTAGGAGGCAAAGTCGTCAGTTTTTTTCTTTTCTTTTCTTTTCTTGTCCTTTCCTTTCCTTTCTTTTCTTTTTTTTTTTGATTAACATTACTTTACTTACCCTATCAGAAAAAAATTAAATAAAAAAAATCGATTTATATTTTTCAATATTCAATCAATATTCTATTTATTAAAGCCAAGTATGAATCTCATCAAGTTAGTGTTTTTGAGAATTTTACATTTATTCCAAAATAATAACTCAAGGCAGTAACAATTTAAACAATAGATTTTATTTGTGAACTTATGTTTGGCTATTCTTTTTAATAGTTTAATAGTTTTCGGATCATCAGTCATCAGAGCTCGGTAAATATTGGTCACAGACACCGAGATTTACTTTAAATTTCAGCAAGCTGATTACCCACTAAAACTCCCACAGACCATGTTTTCATGCAAATTTAAAGGGTTTAAATAATGCTATCATTAATTACTCACCCTCATGTATATACTATTTAAATACTAATAAAGTAGGGGTATATATGCTTTCATGATAAACGTGACTCAATATAACATTGCGACTACAGTATAAAAGCTTTTAATGTTCTAAAAGCACAGATTTGGATTTGAAGATGTTAGAAACACGTTTTGAATTTGAACATGAATTTGGCCAATCGTGAAACAGCTGTGTTGTCATCAGCGCTTCTGCAGTTGCTCTGAAAAAACTGCGCCAGCTGAGTCAGCCGGCTGCTCTCGAAAAGATAGCAATTTTTTCTGTATATATATATATATATATATACCCAATTATTTGTAAGTTCTTTTTTCTTTTTTTTGCCCCAAGATGCAACAAAAAGTCTTTGGATGGAACATGCTTGTTTTATCATTTCTCGACCGCTGTTGCTCAATGGAGACTCTGGGCTGTATCTGGCACATTTATCAGAAAATACTTATTATTTAAACTTTTGCCCACAAAAGAGATACATGCAAAAACAAATACATAATACCACAAAAAGAGCACAGATCCTTTTCAGGAAATATGTTTTTTTTTTTTTAAATAAATATTGAAAGAGTTGGAATTTCAGTGGTGAAGTCATGCAACCATGGTGTAGTTTGTTTATTACCTACATATAGCATTTTATTTCTGCCAGTTGTATTTATGCTTAAAAATTAATTGGTGTAAATTATTTTGATGAACAAAAGTAAGAATATTTTTTTCTGCAGTAAAACAAATCCAATAGAACATCTCTACTGACTTTTTGTGATACTAAATACTGTGTTGGCGTACAAAATCACATTACATTTTATCATGGTTCTATTTAGCTAACAACCACTTTCTCTGTCACAGATAGTATCAGATCTTGCCCATGTGTCCTGTAAGTGTCATGGCGTGTCCGGCTCCTGCAGCCTTAAAACGTGCTGGTTGCAACTTGCTGATTTCCGCAAGGTGGGTGACGCACTGAAGGAGAAATACGACAGCGCCGCTGCCATGAGGCTGAACAGCCGCGGGAAGCTTGTTCAAGTTCACTCCAAATTTAACTCTCCTACCAGCAATGACCTGGTATACATCGACCCCAGTCCAGATTACTGCGTAGAGAACAAAACTACCGGCTCTTTAGGAACTCAAGGTCGCCTCTGTAACAAGACGTCCGAAGGCATGGATGGCTGCGCACTCATGTGTTGCGGTCGAGGTTACGATCAGTACAAGACACAGCTGGTTGAGCGTTGCCACTGCAAGTTTCACTGGTGCTGCTACGTCAAATGCAAGCACTGTTCACGAACAGTTGACCAGTTTGTGTGCAAGTAGTAGCACGAGGCACGTAATGAGAGCATGTGAAAGAAGATGAGAAGGAAAAACTAAAATGATTTTTTTTAGAGCTGAAATCATTATGAGACTGATTGGTTTCTTGCTATCAGTTTCTAAGTACTAGGTACAAGACATCTAAACTGCAAATATCATTATATATTTATTTTTTTATAAATATGATTTTGAAATACTCTGATAGGCTATGCAATATAAATGAAAACAGCCTGAATAATGAGTCTTTCACTCTGGGCATAAATACTGTACATTCAGATGAGAAACCACGCTGCAAAAAAATAAGAAAATACTTTCCCTGTAAAATATGTCAACTTCATTAAAACCAGATCATTGTATTTGAGAATAAGACTTGTTTTGAGAAAATGTCTTAAATTGTCAGTGGTTTCTATTATTACTCATTTGATGCTTATAAAACAAAATTAATTTGCTAATGGGTTAAGATATATACATTTGATTCACGATATATTCTATGAAAACAAGTTTTATCTTACATAATTTTACTTTTCAAGTAAAAGTATCTTGATTTAGAAATAACAAGATAATAAAGAAATACAGTTGAATTAGGTTAGATCAGGTTAGGGAGATCTGATAAACAGTGTGCAGCGGTGGGGCATCTCCAGGACATACGTGAGTTAACTGCATAAGAAAACATGCGTATTTACTGTGTAATTACCACTGTGTTCTTTAGTCTGACATCATCTCACACTTTGTGGATTTGCGATTTTGTGCAACAGGTTTCTACAGTAAACAATATAATTTCTGTACAATACCTTCACATTTTTGTGCAGTCGCTGTAAATAAAGTCATTAAAGACAATTTATGTTTGCGTCTATTCATCCACCCCAGCTCCACCTTCACGTGTAGTTATGGTAACACTTTACAATAAAGGTACATGAACAATCATGTACTAATATTGAATTAATATTTACTTTAACATGAACTCATGATTAGTGAAGACTAATGAGCTAACCAAGAACCTGTGAAGAGCTATGCTTAACTACAACTGGAGTCACAAGGATTTATGCACGAATAATGGCAGCCTTAACGACATGTTAGTACATGTTTTATAGTTAATGCATTAATTAACATTTAGTGGTAAACTAAATCAAATAGTCTCTAAATGAAGTTTGTTAAATAAATGTAAACTATTTCAAATGGTCATAATATAATTATTTTCATTGATCCTCCTTATCAAATATAGAAAATATTAAAAAAGGGGGCAAAGGGAGTCACATGAAACAAGACATGAATCATGACTCTTAAGTGCATTTGACTTGGAGTGGCATCCTTTGATGTCATATACTGATTGTTCTGCGCAGCACCGATTGAAGTCGAACACACTGTATTGTAATTTAGAGGGC